CTGGTTGAGCCAACTCTCCGGGGGGGGTGGAGTCCTTGAAATCGACGAAGGATCCCCTCAGCTCGAGGGTCGTACACCGAACGAAAAACACTCGCAGGAAGGCCATCTGCCGCAGGAACAGTACTCGGCGCTGGTCAAAGCCCCTACCCGCCAGAACGCCTGGCAGACGCCCCAAGGGGACCCCCGTACCCCACACTTCGAGCCCTCCGAGCCCTCTTGGGGGGCAGTCACATAAGCCGCGACTTCGTTTTTTTATCTTTTTGCGACCCCTCCCGGAGGGCCCTTCCGACCCCTCTCGAGCCCTACCGCCACGAAGATCCTCCCTTGTCCGACCGTCCCTCCGAGCCCACCCGGCGTCCGGGGAGGGGGTTAGCCCTGTGGAGCCCTCCCGACGCCGATCCGACGGGGACCCCTCCAGCCCTGTGGGCTGGCGAGCCCTCCGGTCGGAGGGGTGGAAGTGGGAGGGCTCGAGGACGGACCTCTCTCGCTCCGGGAGGGTGGAGGGGTGCAGGGTGGAGGGGGTGGAGGGGTGGCTGAGCCCTCTAGCTCTTCCGATAAGCCCTACCCCTCCCGCCGTTTTAGGGCTTGCTGACCCGCTATGGTTTTTTGTTTTCCCCCCCCCCCCCCCCCTCCTTCCCTCTCCGGGAAGAGATGCGCACTGCTGTCCCTAGAGGGGGGTCGGGTGGTGTGGGCATAATTCGGCTCGTGTTATTCGCGGTCACCCACGGACGATCGTTGGAGTGGGCCGGAGGACAGAGGCTTGCTTGTGTGGGGGCGCGCGGGCGCCCACTCAGGCTCGGCCTCCGTTGAGCGTTGTCTCAGCCTTCAGTTCACCTCTCCTAGCGCCCGGTTTGGTGTGGTGACCTTCATTTCGGGGTCGAAGGTGCTACACACACACTTGCCCCCTGGTGGCTGGCATTAGAGGCGTTTTCCAAAAGAATTGATCTCGGCAGAATATTAGAATTTTACAAACAAACTCCCTCGCACGACACTAGGCATATTAGAATGCACTACTCGCCCCCTTCTTTTTCGGTGGGGTCGAAGGTGCTACACACACTCGCCCCCTGGTGATGGGCGCTTCTGGTTGTTGCTCGAGGAGGCGGCAAAGTTGTTGTTTTCGGGCTTTGTTTTTCTTTTTGAAAAAAGAAATACCGAGGATAATACAGTGCGCACAGTACTGCGTGCGGCAGGCGCGGGCTCGACGAGAGGCAGGCGATTGTCGCGGAGTGCGGGCTGCAGCGCTGTGCTTGGACTGCGCGGCGTGCACATGTACCTTTCCTGTGGCTGTGCTGGGTGCTGTGCAGGCAGGCTGGACAGCGGACTCAACGGATGGCGGAGCGCGCGCGCAGCGTGCCCCGCGCGCGCTTCGTGCGGTGCAGGATCTGTGTCGTGTCTGGCGCGGGGCGGCAGGGGCGCAGCTGCGGAGCACGCGGGCTGAGTGTTCAGAGCAGGCAGGGCTGCTGCACAGCCTGCAGCAGGCTGTGCAGCAGACCTGATCGGGTAGCGGAGCGCGTGCGCGGTGGCCTGCGCGCGCGGCGTGCCGCCGCGCGCGCCTCGCGGTGAAGCGTCCTGCCGGGCGCGTCGCGCTCTGGTGCGGCATGTGCCTAAGGAGTGTGCAGGCGCCTGTGAAACAGGCGCAGACTTCAGTGAGAGGCGCACTGCGGCGCGCGCGTCGCGGCGTGAGTGGTCGTGTAGCTGGCTCTGGTGGTGCGAGAGGCGGGCGGCTCCTGGTGCGGGCGGCTTGGCGAAGCCATGGGGTGCCAGCACAGGGCAGACGCACATGGCACAGCTCTGAAGGCGCTGCGCGTGTGTTTGCGTGCGCGCGGGGACACGTACGTGTGTTTTTTTCAGTTTTCACGCGGTGTGTGCGTGGAGAGGGTCATGAGGGGCGCCGGCCGCGCGTGGCTCGGCGTGTGGGAGTGTTGGGGTGCCCGGTAGGCGCGTGAAATGGTGCCCGAAGGGCGATCATTTTGGGTTGCTGAAGGAACTGTTGTTCACAGCTTCAGGGCCGGGCGCCCGGCGCGACGCCTTGCACGTTGCAGTGCTTCGGCGTCCGCGGCCAACGCGCCAAGCCGTAGTGCGTAGACCGAACGTTCACCAGACCGCGCGCTCGCGGGCCACCCCGCGCACGCGCACCGTGATTCAGTACTGTGCACAGTTTCGAATACGTTCATGTGCGCATAGTGTACCACGGCATTGCTTCTCTGTGCGGATTCGGTATTCGAAAGGTTTCTTCGCGCACAGTCGAGACTCAAGCACGTTCGCGCGCGAGCTCAGGACCCGTCGCCCGTGTCGGTGGGCGGCGGGGAGGGCGGCGAGTGTAGCCCCTCCCGCCCGTGCTTGCGCTGCAAGCCACCAAATCGCGCCAGTCGCACCAACATTACCGCGCCCCGCGCCCGCGCCCGCGCCCGCGCCCCCTGGCCGCGCCCTTGTGCCGCCAGCCGCGCGACTGCGCCGCCTCTTCCGCCGCCGCCGCCGCCGCCGCCTGCCGCAGCGGCTTCTTCATCTTCCCGCGGTCGTACTCCGCCTCGTACGCGTCGTACCTGACGGAAAGCTCCGAGAAGGCTCCGAGAAGTCTCGTGGATAGTGTGGCACCACCCGCCTCGGCGCACCTCCTCCTTCGCTTGCGGCCGGCCCCGCCTAGGGTGAGGGGAGGCCAAGTCACCGTCTCCACCTTCTCCACACGGCGCGAGGGCTAGTCCATCCCTCACGCCTCGATGTCGCAAGGCTGGAGCCCCCGGGGGCAAGGTACAAGTCCGTGAGCAGGGAGCGTGAGTGCGCGCGCGTGTGCGCGCGCGTGTCTGTCTGTCTCTGTGTTGGCCTGCGCCGGCAGCCGCGTCGACCGCCCGCCTCCGCGCCGCCACCTCGCCCTCGCCGATCCCCTCCCACACGCCCACCGCCTCCTTGAAGAGTGCGCCTCTCGGCGGAGCCCCGGCCCCTAAGAAAGAAACCGACGCGCCTAAAAAAAGAAGTCGTGCCGCGTCGATTGGGCGAGCGCCTCCTGAACACGGAACACGGGAGACGTGACCACCGTGCAAAAGACAGGGGAGAGCACCGCCCCGGAGGTCTGGGGGGACAGCCACATCTCCTCAGGATCTCGGCTCAGCTCTCGGTAACGCCCTCGCACCGCGCGACGTCGCCGACGCGCCGCCCGCGCGCGAGGCGCCTACGCGCCCGCTCAAGAGAAGGTACAGGGAAATGTCTTGGAGAGGGGGGGGGGGGCGCGGCGGAAGCGAGGCTGGCACCGGCCGGACCGCCCACGCCCATTGCCCACGCCGCTCCGTCAGCGTCTTCCCTCAGCGCAGCTGCCGTACGAGGCACCCCTCCTCCGCAGTCGCCGCCTCCGACGCCAACCTCGTCCGCCGGTGCCGGAACCGGCGGCAGCATCGGTGATGGCGCGGGGGGGTCAACCCATAAAGGGGGGGGCGAACGGGCCGGCCCCTTATTTTTGGCGGAACGACGGACGGGGCCCCCCTTTTTATACAACCGGCGGCGTGGGGAGGAGGCTGAGGCGGGGCATGTTAGCCCCGCCGACGCCCGGCAACCGGCGCGCTTGGCGAGCGGGCCGCCGCAACGCTAGCACCGCTGCCACTTGGCCGGCCGCCACCCCGGCCGGCGCAGCACCACCCTCCTCCGCCGTGCCCGCTTCCCCCTCCCCCGGCACCCCGCCCGCCACCTCCTTGCCTCCCGCCGCCCCATCCCAGACGCAGACGTCTGTGCCCGCGTCGCTGTCCGCATCGCCGGCCGCGCCGCCGGCCGCCGCCGCCTCTGCAGCGAAGGCTGGCGCCGCCCCGCGCGCCGGCGGGGGCGTGCGCACGTAGAAGAGCAGGTACGCCTCCGCCCCCACCGCCTGCCTCGCCGACGCTTGCCTCACCGTGTCGTCGTCAAACCTGTGCCACACGCCCGACGAGGCGCGCGCGAGGCAGTGGAAGTGGCCGACGTGCAGCTCGCGCCCCTCGTGGGCAACCACGGCGCAGAGGCGGTAGGTCAGCGGCAGCGGCGCGCCGCCGCCTGGCGCAAGCCCCGCACCCTCGCAGACTGCGGCGAGGTCGAGCTCCTAGGCACTGCGATCTCGGGTCATCTCGGGCCATCTCGGGCCATCTCGGGTCATCTCGGGTCATCTCGGGTCATCTCGAGGTCATCTCGGGTCATCTCGGCGAGGCCGAAGCTCCTCCTCGTACTGCACGGCGTGGCAAAGCTTCGACGCACCGCGCGCGCAGTCGTACCGGAACCGCTTCAGCTGCAGCACAAGAACGTGGGGCGTGTCGCCGAGCCGCAGGCGGCGGGTGCCCTCGACTTTCGCAGCGCAAGCCGCACACCAAAAGGAGTCGTCCCCCTTGACCGGCTCGCTCGCTGTGAAGTTGCGGAGCGCTCTCTCGACCGTCGTCGCCTAAGGCCAGGCAAGCTTCTCCACACACACACACACGGGGCGGTGGGGCAGGGGCCAGGCTAGTCCCTCGCGTCTCCACGTCTAGACGACAGGAGCCCCACGGCATTCAAAGTGCAAGGCCCAGTGCCGGCGTGGGTGAGCGGTGTGTGAGCGGTGTGTGTGTGTGTGTGTGTGTGTGTGTGTGTGTGTGTGTGTGTGTGTGTTTGTGTTTGTGTGCGTGTGCCTGCGTGCGTGCTTGCGTGTGTGTGTGTGTGTGTGTGCGTGCGTGCGTGCGTGCGTGCGTGCGTGCTTGCGTGTGTGTGTGTGTGTGTGTGTGTGTGTGTGTGTGTGTGTGAGTGTGTGCGTGCGTGTGTGTGTGTGTGTGTGTGTGTGTGTGTGTGTGTGTGTGTGTGTGTGTGTGTGTGTGTGTGTGTGTGTGTGTGTGTGTGAGTGTGTGAGTTGTGTCCTTGCCTTGTGCAGCCCAAGAGAGAGGCCGGCGCTCGACTCGCGCGCTGTCGTGCTGCCGCCGCAGACGCCACAGGTGAGGGTCGAGACGAGGCTGCCTCCAAAGAGCTGGTCCACCTCGCTGGAGCAGCATTTCGGCTCGGCGCCACCCACGCCGTCCGCCGCCCCTCCGCCGCCGCACTTCCCTTCGGCCGCCGCCGAGCGCATACGACTGAGCAGGCCGAGGAGGAACTCGTGTGCGTCCTGCGGCCTGTCTGGCCGGAAGTGGCGTGCGATCAGGCGGAGCTTGCCTGCCATCGCCGTCGGGGCGAGGGACCGCGCTGCCGAGCCGTGCAGCTCGACGATCAGTGCCTCGAGCTCGCAGTACGCGCACCAGCCGAGCACGCGGCAGCCGCGCGAGTGGTGGCGCGAGAGGCAGAGCTGAGCCAGGGGTGGGAGGTGGGCGAGAGCCTGGAGCGCCGCGTTCATGAAGCACGTCTGGCCCAGGTTCGACAGGCCCGGGCCCGCGCCGCGGACAGAGGACCACCCGAGCATGCCCAGGAGCCGCTCCGGCGGGAAGAGAGGCGCCGGACCGGCTGGCGCGGATTGTGACGCTGGCAGCGCGCCGCCGTCGCCATTGCGGACATCCGAGCGCGCCTTACCGGTGGATGCCACGCCAGGGTTCAGCACGCGCACGAGCGCGGACGTGGCAGCCGGTTGACTCGCCCGGCGCGCTGGCACGAAGCGGACACGACGGCTCAGGATGTCGGGATCGACGGCGGCCGCTGCAACGTCGTCCCACATCGCACACTCTCGAACGGCGTGGCGGTGGCAGAGGCCTCACGAAGGTAGTGGAAGTGCGGCGGCTGGCTTCAACAGGCAGCAGCCAACACCCACGACACTGGGCAACGGGACTGGCGCCCTGGGTTCCGGCTAGGAGCCGGATAGGGGGTCTGCTCGACTGGCTGGCCCCTCCTAGATAGGTAGGTAGGTTGGTCTTGTTTCGCCCAAAAGGGCCCTGCAATAGGTAGGTACCCCCTATTTTCATCTTTTTTCGCTTCGCTGCGCGGCCTGGGGATAGGTAGGTAGGTAGGGCGTTTTGGCGCGAGTCAGTCCCAACAGACCCCCTATCCGGCTAGGAGCCGGAACCCTGGCACTCGTGCGAAAAAAGCGACTGCAACGAAGGACCGCTCGCAAGGCACCATTGGGTTTGTTCCAATTAACAACGAAGGCGCTCTCAAAAAAGAAAAGGTTGCGATGGGGGGAGGTCCCGACAACGGACAAGCGCCGTACACTCACTTCGGTCTTTGCTCTGCGCGAGGAAGAGGCGACGCCAGGAGCGCGAGCGAGTGACGGGTAATCGTGGCCGTGGCCAAGAAAATCAAAATATTAAGCTCTCTGTTTGGACCACGGTGAAAAACTCGACGGTTTTGGGCGTTTCAGAGCACGCTGAATCGATTGGCTGAGCTATAATTCTCGCCAGCCCTTTCCTTTCATAATTATTGACTCAAAACTTGATGATCGCGCGACTTTGGAGCCGTTATAGCTCAGCCAAAACGTTCCTCTCGAAAAATTGACTTAGGAAGCCGCAAACGGCAGCTTCTCAAAGCCTCACCGGCGCTTATTCTCTTGATCTTTCAAAACCTAGGCCTGCGGCCAAAATTTTCTAAAGGCCGCTGCGCGGCCAGCGCAATGCGCAACCAGTCAGCGACCGACAGTCAGCAGCAGACTGTGACGATTGGCGGCCTCGCGCCCTCAGTCGACCTCCTCTACCAACTCCCCTGCCCAGCCCATATGCCTCATCCACGGTGGCGCAACCACTCGCGCAGGGAGAGAGAGAAAGTCGGCGATCTGCGCCGTGCAGATGAGCTCCGCCTCGTCTGCGTCGAGGACGCCCATCGCAGGGCTGTCATAGCGCCATTGCGTATGACGTACTGCATGTTGTTCATTACTTCGCAGGTGCCAAAGTCGAGGATAATCTCACTCAGCGATGGCGAAGGCTGCACTCCCGGCCGGCGGTAGGAGGGATGAAGGTTAATGTACTTCGCAGTGTACAGTGCCTTCCGGCGCGAACAGTGCCCGGGACGAAAGAGGAGGCGACGTCTCCCTCGTCCATGGACGGTGTAGCCAGCTTGAGAGACGGGAACGAACGGCGGTGAATCGCCGACAGCGGCGCCTTCGTTCCTTTCCAGTGAATCGCCGGCGGGTGCCCTGAGCGTTGTATCTGTCGGCCAGTTGCCGCACCGCCGGCAGCAGCTCCGCAGCAGCCGCCCAGATGGCGCCGGTTAGGACAGGAGCGAAGCCGCGTGGACACGGCTGAGCGACGCCGTGCGTCTCGTTTGGATGCTGCAGGCATGCCGGGCAGCGCGCGTGCTCCATCCATACCGCGTCAAGCGCCCGCCGAAATCTTCGATTTCTTCGGCGTAGGGGACCAAAAAACCCTGAAAATTTTCTTCGCCTGCGGCGGGCAATTAATTTCGATACTTTCGCTTTCACAGCTCTTTCACACGACTTTATCCGTCACTCGCTCGCGCGTGCCGCCACACACGCCGCGCCGGGGGACGTGAGATGCGCAACGCACGTGTTGCGTGTGTCTCGGCTCTCTGCACAGTCTGTGGGAATGCGACATGCGGGCGTACTAGAGAGACATGCAGTAGTAGCGGGGGCGGCGCGTAGGGAACCTCTCCGAGGCGCGGCTGTCGGCGCCGGGAGCCTCCCCGGCCTGCGCCGTCACTCCTTGGCCTTGCTGGGCAGCAGGGTGAGAGCGATGCGGCCCTTTGCATCGACGCTATCTACTTTGAGCCGGCCGCCCTCGAGCAGCAGCGAGCGCGCTGCGCCGCTCGGGGCGTCGGCGGCGGCCTTCACGTCCGCCAGCAGCCCGCCGATGACCGCTTTGCTGAGCGCCTTGGCGAGGCTGTCGGTGCTCGCCGCCGTCAGCTTGATCGCGCCTGCGCCTTTGCCGGCCGGCGGCGCCTTTGGTCGCGCCGCGGCATACTTTGCCTTCTCGGCGTCACCCATGCCCGACCACTGGCTACCGAGCGTCTTGAAGTATTCTGGCGTCGAGACGCCCAGCGGCCGCTTGCTCATCATCTCTTTGACGTAGGCGGCGTACGCGGGGATCGCGCGCTGCGGAAGCGGCTTGGCCGCCCGTGTGAGCTCGGCGCGTGCCGCGGCGATCGCGCTGGAGCTGCCACGGATCGACGGAGGCATGATGTAAACCCACGGCGCGGGAAAGGGGGGGGAAGGTTCCGCAAAGAATTCTTACAGGCTGAGCTCCCCGGCCCTGGATGTGAGGTTGATGACTGCACTCCAAGTGCTCCAAGTGCATCGCAGAGCAACTGTCATCATCTGTCCAGCGTCCACCCATACCGCGTTGGTGTCCAGTCCGAGCCTGGCTGCTCTTCACCTTTCTACCTACCTACCTAGCACACTGGCACGACAAGGGTTAGGGTGGGCGACGGCTAGCACCACACTCCTCTCCTGAAAATCCTAAGCGACTCCGTTAAGTAAGAACGGCAATGCACTCCGCACCATGCACAATGCCGCTCTCCCCGCCCGCACGCTAGCTCGTTCACCGTCTGCCACGCCACAGCGGTGTGCGGGTCGCGACATGCAGGTTGGGTCGAGAGGCGCGGCCAATCTCCTTGTGGGCAGTGAGCAGTGTAACGGCGCCTCGAGGAGGAGCACGGTGAGCACGGCATCGCTCAGCATGCCGCTGCGCGTCTCGTTGGCGCGGGCTCCGCGTCCGACGCGACGGGCGGGCTTCTCCTCGCCAATCGCGAAAACAACGGAATCCCAAAATTGATATCCAATCGGGCAAGGAAAAATCTCTGTGTAAACATACCCACTTTTACAGGATAATAAACAAACGGTAGGATGGGTAAAAAGGAACAGGTTCCCGCCCGTGCGGTCTTTGTGGATCCTTTCTTCTTTGTGGGTGTTCTCTCTCGAGGTTCTCGAGGTGGATATCCTTTGGCCGCGTTGGGTAGCGAGGATTGGTGTGACGCGATCCACGCAGGCGTGTTTTCTGACGGCCGACCGTCAGTGCACGGAGTTGCCCCTCCTCCGACTGCCCCGGCTAGTTCACGAGTTTCGCAGGAGTGACACCTTGTGGGTGTCGTATTAATTGGCAAGAGAATGTGAGCCGGTTTGCTTTGTTAGTTTTTTTTGCACGGGTGTGAGAAATTTACAACAACGCGCTCCAGATCGAGATGACGCTCAATCGCTTCTGCGCGGACGCCTCCCTCAACTACTTCCTCCGCACGATGCCGGAGGAGGCGACGCGGGAGGCGGCACGGCTGCACGATCGGCTCATCGGCGAGGCGTTCAACGAGCTCACGGCGGGGCGCTTGAGCTCGACGGCGCAGCGCAGGGCGGCGGTGCAGCAGGCGCGGCTGCCAGTCAAGCTCGGCGGCGCCGGCCTCACCTCCATGTCGGCCGTCACCGACGCGGCGATCGTCGGCTCGTGGTGCCTCTGCTGGGAGCCTATCGCTCGCCTCTGCCCGCAGCTGGCGCGCGGCATCGACCTCGGCGCCGCCGCGGTGGCGGCGTCGGCGGTGGCGGCGGCGGGGGCGGCGGCCGGGCAGGCGGAGGCGGAGTCGGCGGTCGAGCAGGCGCTGGCGGCGGTGTCTCTCGAGGCGCGGTACGCTCGCGAGGCGCGCGTGCGCGGGGCGGCGGGCGGCGGCGGTGGTGGCGGCGGTGGCGGGGATGCTGAGATGCGGGCCGCCGAGGGCGGCGAGGGCGGCGAGGGCGGCGAGGGCGGCGAGGGCGGCGAGGGCGGCGAGGGCGGCGAGGGCGGCGAGGCGGGCGGCGCCACTCTAGGCGGCGGGGGCGGGGCTGGCGCGGCGGGGGGCGGCGCCGGCCTCGCCGCCGGCGGGGGCGCGGAGGGCGCCGAGTCGAGGGCGGCAGAGGCGGCCAAGGCAGCGGTGGGCCGCGGGCTGCGCGGCGACGAGGTGGTGGGCGCGCGCAACCGCGCTCGCCTTCCAACGGAAGCCCCTCCCCGAAAGGGCAAGTCTTAGCCACATGAAACCCGAGACCCCTCCCCACCGCCCCGATCCCCCCACCCCCTTGCTCCCCTCCCCCCCCTCGGGAGGGCCGAACTGAGGCGCCCGTGGGGACCCCGCAGTTCCCTTCCCCCCTCGGAGGGGGCCGGACGAGGCGTACCCCGAGGGCCCCACTCTTTCCTTCGCATAGCGGCCACTCTTCGGATCGCTGGTCGAGCGACCCGGGGGATGCCCCGCGCGCCTGACCCAGGCGCGAAAACGAATCTGCGAGGCGTGGCCGCTCATGCGGCCCGATGGGGAGGAGGGGAAGACGTAGGGCGTGCTTGCGCGCCTTCCAACTGAGGCCCCTCTCCAACCCACCCGCGCTAGGTCTCGGGGGACGCAGGGGTCAGCCCCGCGCGACCTCGGGAACTAGCCGGGGCGCAGTCGGAGAAGGGGCAACTCCGTGCACTGACGGTCGGCCGCCAGAAAACACGCCTGCGTGGATCGCGTCACACCAATCCTCGCACGCGGCCAAAGGATATCCACCTCGAGAACCTCGAGAGAGACGCTGTCCAAAAGAAATGTATGGCGGCTGAGGACGTGCAACCTCCGCTCTGCCACTCCGCCCGCTCGCTGCCTGCAGTGGGTGATGACCGCGGCCTATTGGCGTCTCGCCTGGCTCCGCTACGCCCAGATTGTCGCTGTTTCGTCCCTCGCCGCTCTCGCCGCGGCGGTGCTGGCCGTGCATCTCCAAAGCGGACGCGACGACGACGACGACGACGACGGCGGCGGCGATGACAAGAGCAACAGGGTCGGAGGGCCTTCGCAGAGCAGGGTGCAGTTCGCTAACAACGTGTTTGCTGCCGTGCTCTGGCTGCTGGTGACCTCGGCCGTGCTCCTTGGGCCGTACACGAAGTTCTCCCTGCTCGCGCGCGCCGAGTGGAGCGGGCGAAGCGCCTTCGACCTCGCGCTGGCGCGCGTCATTCTCATTCTTCTGTACATGCAAGATTGTGCGTCGGATCAGCATGGGACACGCTGGATGACGGGCCACGCGGGCAAGTACACCGTCCGTATGGGCCTGTTGCCCGACCCCATGAAAGCGTGGGATCGCCATTGGATGTCACGGTGGATGTATGAGCCGCACGCAATGGGCCTGTTCACCGTGCTCGCTCTGCTTGGCGTCTGCGCGCGCCCGGCTCTGCTCGGCCTCGCGGTACTCGAGATGAGGAGCCAGCTCTTTCAGCGCGCCAACGGGCCGGGCCGCCACCACTCTGGTGCCATCTCCACACACTCACTTCATTCACGCACACGCGACACACTGACACCCCGCCTCATCTACACGCGACACAGTGACACCCCGCCTCATCTACACGCGACACAGTGACACCCCGCCTCATCTACACGCGACACAGTGACACCCCGCCTCATCTGCACGTGCGACACAGTGGCACACAACGAGCCCTCCAACGAACCCCCCTCACACAGGTCACCTCTTCCCAGAGGTCTTTCTCCTCTTCGCGCTCGCGCCCTGTGGGGACGCGCTCAATCTGTGCCGCGTCTCGCTCTCCGATCAGTACCAGTGGCAGCTCCATGGCTTCCTGCCGCGTCTCTGCCGCCGAGGCGTCGCCACTGATGCCGCCGACCCCGCGACACGCGGGCCATCGCCCCACTACACGCTCCCGTTCATCTCTTTGCTCCTCCTGCTCGCCAGTGCGTACGCCTCTGCCGGGCTCGCCAAGCTAGTCGATTGCTACGCGGCGTACGAACGCGAGGACGCCACTGTGGGCTGGTGGGCACCCACAAGCATCTTCTGGACGTCGGACCACTTGAAGGCACTCTCCCCCCCTCCCCCCCGACGCTGCACGACTGGGCCCATCCCCGCCCTCACCCTTGTTCCGCCCCCGCCCTGAATAGGGGATGCTGCAAAACCAGCCGGTGCGCTCCTGCAGCGGCGAAGGGTGCTATCACCCCGATTCGGTCGTGTGGCGGCCGCTGTGCACCGAGACCGTCGCTCTCATCGCCGCGTGGGTGTGGCAGCGCTTCTCGTGGACAAAGCGACCCGCCATCCACGCATCATGCGTGCTCGGGAACCAGTACCTCTGGCCGGCCGCGCGGTTCGACTTGTTGCCACCAGCCTTCCTCCATTTAGCCGCGTTCGGCGCCGTGGCCTGGGAGGTGGGAATGTGGGTCGCCGTCCTCGCGCCCGGCCACAGGCCACGCGTGCTCGCCGTCTGCGTCGCATTCCTCTTCCACCAGTCAAACATCTGGATGATGCGCATTTTCTTTGACGAGTTTCAGGCGCAGTAGATCCCTCTAGGTGACGTTTGCACAGACACGCGCCCGTCGACTGTAAGTCCCCGGCACCCGCACCTGTGCACAGGACCTCTACGCCGTTTGGGCGGCACCCTGGCTCGCGCTAGCGTACTCGCGGCTGCGCGGTCGACGCGGCCGGAAAGCGGTGGAGGCGGAGGAGGATCAAGCCGGTGAGGCGGACATGGCGCGGCTTCTCGCCCGAGAGGGGGGCGGCGAGGACGGCGCCAAAGCCCCGCCTCCAGCGCAGCGGCCTCCGGCGTCTCGGCGCGCGATGCACCTTCTGGTCGCGGTTTTCCCCATCCTGCTGGGGACTGCTCGCTACTTCGCCCCCAAGTCGTCCTACCCGGTGATGGCTCGCCCGCTTTGCTTGGACGCTCCTGTAGATGGCGCCCAGGCTGGTAAATAGCTCTCTGGCAACAAGTCCTAACAAAATGCCGTCCTGTCGACGGCAGGTGGCGAGCTTCCCCTCGTTTTGTGTCTCGGCTAAAGCTCGAGCCGACTGGAGGAAGGGCAGGCCGGCAAAGAACCACTCCATCACGGCCTCGTTCTCTCTCGTCGGGGCGTGGACCGATAGGTGTGCCGAGCGTTTGAATGAAGGCTGCCACTACTAGGTGCTGCGCGAGACGCGCCTGCTCGCCGCGCGTCCCGGAGATGCCTCCTCGCCTACTACCCTCCGCTTCCTCGCGCGCGGGCACTTCCACCAGGTGGCGGACAGCGGAAACCAGTTGAACAGGCCGCCTTTCCGATTGGGCTGCGACGAGGGGCTCAAGGGCCGCGTCGACCGGCTGCTGGATGACCTCTACTCCAAGCCGCGCCGGTTTGCCTCGAGTGACGGCGGCTGGGACGGCGATCCGGGCACCATCACGCACCTGCAGTTTCTGGTGCGTGCCACACTCCCGCGGTCGCCCATCCACCCGAGATGTGCACGATGCTCTTGCGATAT